CCCCCCAGCTATGCCATCACACAGCTGGGCGCCCCCAGCAAGGGGCGAGCCCCTGCTGTGCGTCCAGATGTGCACACCTGCATGGCTGTGTGCTCCCCCAGATGTGGTCTCCCGCAGACGTGTCTGCTCATCCAGATGTGCGCTCATCCGGCACACCCTTGCCCAGATGCGTGCCCTCACCCAGATATGCATCCACCTGTGCCCACCCACCATCCCCGTGCTTACCCAGATGTTCGCACTCCATTTCTGCACCCTTATCCAGCTGTGCACTTGCCCAGCTGTGCCCTTGCCTGTCCGGGACCCCTGTCGGGGTGCAGCGTGCCCTCCTTCCCAGGGCATGGGGGCCGCCGCCTGCCCCAACAGCCGGGGTGTGACCCCCACGGGCAGCGCCATCCCCGCAGCGTTCCTCAGCCTGTTCTTAATTGGCTTCCCCCTCGTCGTGACGGAAGGAGGCTTTAATTAACGCTGTTGCTCACCAGGTGCTCCGGCAGTGCCCGTGTCGCAGGGAAGGGCCTCCCGGCAGCACAGAGCCTGCCATGGCTGGTGGTGCGGCCGGAGGGTCCTTCCTCTGCCTCAGGGGCACCTCTCTCGCCCTGTCTCTTCGGTGTTTGGGCAGGAAAACGCCTTCGCTCCTTTTACTTTGTTTTTGGGACTAGCTCTGCCCGGCTGGTGCTGCTGCCTTGGTGCTGCTGGGCTCTGGAGCCGGCAGTGCCTGGCTCTGCCTGCCCTGGGGCAGCTCTGTGCGGTGCCCTGCCTTCATCAGTCCTGCCGGCCAGAGCCAACCCTGCCCAGCCTCACCCTCGTCCTCCTCTTCCTCCTCCTCCACAGTTCGATGCTGAATTCCGCCGCTTTGCCATGAAGCGCTCCGGCGCGGGCAGCTTCCAGGACTTTTACCGGCTGCTGCAGACGGTGCACCAGATCCCACGGGTGGACGTGCTCCTGGGCTACACAGACATCCATGGAGACCTCCTGCCCATCAACAACGACGACAACTATCACAAAGCCCTGTCCTCTGCCAACCCCCTCCTCAGGGTCATCATCCAGAAGAAGGGTAAGTGGGATGTGGAGAAGGGCGCTGGATCTGTTCTGCCCATCAGGAGAGATGAGCCATGTCCCATGGCATCACACCTTCCAGCCACTGCTTTGGTGGTTGGGTGTGGAGATGGTGGCACTGGGAGGCTCCCAGAGCCCTGCCAGGGCTGTGGCACCCACGTGAGCTCTCCCTGGCAGCCGAGGGGCACCCGCCCCAGCCCGGCCCCGTGCGACCCCGTGAGCAGAGGCAGATCCTTGCAATTCACCCCTTTGAAGTCATGGTTTCCAGCCAAGATTGCGTGGGCTCCCTGATAACACCCGTGTTATTCCTATGAGCGCTATGCTGGGAGCCCCATCCAGTTCCCCGCCCTGAGGAGGCAACAGCCATCATTTTGGCAGAGCTCTCAGGGTGCTGCTGAATTTTAGGCATCGGGAAGAGACTTGCTGCCTCCCTGGCAGCCCACGGGCTTGCCCTGACCTTAGTGGCATATTTCCAGAGGGCCACTTACTTGCACAGGTGCATGGAATTGCCCTGATAGCAGTGTCCTGTCGAGGATGGAAATCTCCCAGTGACAAACACTCTGGGTACTTCTCTTCACAGGGGAAACAAGCCCGTCCCCTTCCACTTGGTTTAGTAGCACCAGGGTTTTCTCTTTAGTAGCATCATCAGTAAGCAGTGCAGAGCCAGAACCTGACCCAGAGCCCCAGTTTTCCTGCTCTGGCACAGCATCCAGAGCAATTCCATGTTTCCAGCTCAGTGGTACAAAGTCTGTGGGTGAGGGGTGATGCCAATGGCCAGCCTTGGCTTGTGTGCCATTTTTTCTGGGCTTTTGCATCAGGGTGGCGTGGGATGCCCTGGATGTGCATTTTCTCTGTGGCCACACAGTGTGGGGCCAGCAGCAGTGATTCAGGCTGCTGGAGCCCGTGTTGTGCTCAGGGGCTGTCACTGCCAGTGCCAAACCATCCCATTCCTGGAGCAATGCTTGGATCCAGGCTGTGGCACAGAGAGCTGGAGCAGGGGTGGGTGTGCCAGGGCTGCTGTGGGAGCATTGCTCCTGCTCCCAGAGCCACCTTGTCTGCTGCTGGAAAAAGCCTGTGACTGAGCATGCCAAGATGGCACAGTGTGGAGGGCAGGAGCCACAGCCCTGGCACTGTGGGCAGTGTGATAAGGAGGGCAAGGAGGCAACACCAGCAAGCCCCAACAGCCGGCTGTGCCTGCAGGAGAGGGGCCAAGGGGCCGGCAGCACCATGGGGAGGTGTGCAGAGAGGCCAGGAGCAAGCCCTGGGTGAGTCACAGCTGATTTAAAATGGATCCAGGTCATCCCAAGGCTGGGCTGTCGTTGAACCGGTCCGGGTCGCTGAGGAATGTGGCTGCAGAGCCTCTCACAGTGCCGGGCACGGGGAGCTGTGCACACCTGTGTAGGTAGGTGTGCACCCATCAGTGGGCTCTGCAGCAGCCAGTCCTGCAGCAAGAGGGCAAAAAGCAAAGGTTGGGTTCCCCTCTGAGCCATCACCCCATTGGGTGAAGCCATCCTGGCTGGGACAGTGGCACTGGTCCTCCTTGGCTGGGCCAAGGCTCATGGAAAGGGCAGAGGAGAGCCTGGGACATTGCCAGGGCCACCAGCAGGCTCATCCTTGGCGTGCTGGACCTGCCTGGCCCAGCCACTCTGTGCCCCTTGGAGAGGAGCTCGTGTGCTGAAATAGCTGTGGGAAAGCCTCCGCCGCCCTTCCCTGAGCTAAAAATATGCCAGGCTGTGTGTGCAGGAAGATATATATAAGCCAGGAGCCCTGGCAGGCTGGCTTGACTAGGGAGAAATCCCATGTCCCCTGGGCTTGGGGACATCCCCAGCACTCCTGAGGCTGGAGTGGGGTCTGGATGCTGGTGGGGGGCACTGTGGGGAATGTGCTGACCATGCAGCGTCCAGATCTGGAGTCCCACATGGAAAGGGATGGGGAGAAACCAGAGGGGAACGAGGGGATGCTCCCCAGCTCTTGGTGGATGGAACCAAGGAGGATGTGTTGGAGCTGGGCCCCACAGAGCAGCCCCAGGGCAGGGTCCAGGAGGAGCGTCAAACCCTGTATGAAGGTGCATAAGAGACAATGGCATAAATCACAGTCTGGGATGTTCAGTGGCCCTGGGGATGCTGCAGCCCTGGGATGGATCTCTGGAAGCTGGGAAGTCTCTGACCTTGGGGATGGCAGGGTTCTATAGCACATGGTGTCAGCCATCCCCAGCCCATGCCAGTGATGGCCCTGCTGTAGTGAGGCCTGGGGACTCTGGTGGTGGCTCCCAGGGTTGGACTCGCTCTCAGAGAGTTTGCTGCCACTGCAGCACTCCTCGTATGGGGGGTCCCCTCTCCCCAGACCCAAACCGGGGCATGGCTGCAGCTCCCAGGCCATCAGGGCTGGCAGCTCTAGTGTTAAACTGCAGAGTTTGGCTTAAAGTGTGATTAAGGCTGAATCACTGCCTCGATCCCACTAATCCTGGCCTGTGTATGATGGGTAATCCCAGGAGATGGGCCCCAGCGGAGACAGGCTGCAGGGAAAGCCAGGGTGATGCTCTGGGGAGGAAAAGCCGGTGAGACCTGTGAGCGGGGCCCTTCTGCTGCCAGCTCCCCCAACACCTGGGGCCAAGGGCACACGGTCGCATCCCCAGGTGGCTGCGGTGTCTGACCTGTGTCCTCCCTTGCTCCCTACAGCAGAGTCTGATGCCAGTGTCTTCGCCTCCAACTCCCTGCAGCGGAAGAAGAAGGGGCTGCTGCGCCCCGCGCACTACCGGGCCAAGCCTCACCTCCTCATCGGGATGCCCCAGGACTTCCGCCAGATCTCCTCCATCATCGACGTGGACATCCTGCCCGAGACCCACCGCCGCGTGCGGCTCCACAAGCACGGCTCCGACAAGCCGCTGGGCTTCTACATCCGCGACGGCGTCAGCGTGCGCGTGGCCCCGCAGGGCGTCGAGAAGGTGCCCGGCATCTTCATCTCCCGCCTGGTGAAGGGCGGCCTGGCCGAGAGCACGGGGCTGCTGGCGGTGAGCGACGAGATCCTGGAGGTGAACGGCATCGACGTAGCCGGCAAGTCCCTGGACCAAGTGACGGACATGATGGTGGCCAACAGCCACAACCTCATCATCACTGTCAAGCCGGCCAACCAGCGCAACAACGTCATCCGCAGCAGCAAGGCCTCGGGCAGCTCCGGCATGTCCACGGACAGCACCCCCAGCCAGCAGACCCCCAGCCCGGCCTCGCAGTACCTGAGCAACTACAGCACGGCCGAGAGCGACGAGGAGGGCGACCTGGTCATCGAGAGCGACAGCGCCTCCCACTACATCCCCGGGGGCTGCCCCAACGGGGGCCCCGCGGACGGACCCCTCCAGCGCAGCCTGTCCCCCCACAGCTCGCGGGGCTCCCTGCAGTCCCTGGGCAGCCACGACGGCAGCCCCGGCCGGGGCAGCGGGCGGGAGGACGGCACCCTCCTCACCCTATAGCCGTGGGGTCCCGTGCCACTCGGCAGCCGGCTGGGCTTCTGCTCATCCCGGCTGGATGTGGACACCAGGGTGATGACGCGGTGTGGAGCGGGGCTGCCCGCTGCCCTCTCCCACCACCTGCATCCCTGCGAGCCCCGCTGCGGCGCCTGCTCGCGCCGGGCACTGCCCCTCCGAGCCCCCTTGCTCCCCCTTCCAAGCAAGCAGGGATTTTTAATTGTTTTCTCGAAATATGCATCATCAATTAATATATTGCAATGGACAGTAAAACCTTTTCTAGAAAGCACCACGCCTGTCCCTGGTTCGTGTCACCGCAGGGAGGAGGGGACAGCAGGTGGGGACCCCAGCCCTGTGCACGTGGCAGTGCCTGGGAGTGGCAGCCTTGGCCTTGGCACATGTTGTGGCTTTGCTGCTGTGCTGGGTGGCCCCAGTGAGGCCCAGACACCTGGCCTGGCAGCAGTGCCCTGGCTGTTGCTCAGCCCTGCAAACACTGCTGGGGGTGGCACAGCTCAGTCCTCCTCCTCCAGCCCCAAGCTTGGGGTGGGGGGGCCATACCTGCCCCTCCTGGGGCTCCCAGCACCCTCAGTCCCTCTCCATCACCAAAGGGGCCAAGCTGATGGTGGCTTTGGCCTTTGCTTTGCTATTGGCCTGGCTCAGCCCTGGACTAGCACCTTCCTGCCTGCATGAAGGGACAGAGCAACACTGTGCTGCTGGGACCAGCTGGACCTGCAGTGGTGACAGTGACAGCTTCTCCTCCTGTCCTGGCTGGGAACGGGCCTGGGTAGATCATGGCTGGCCATCCCCATAGTCCTTCACCCCTCCTGCCCCAGCTCCTGCAGCATCAGCGTTCAGCCCCAACAACTGTGGCCCAACCTGACAGGGCCCCCAGCCATGTTTGCCAGCGAAGCAGCCCAGGCACAGGTCTGGCAGGGAGTGGGCATCTGAGGGCAGTGCTTTCCAGCCCATTTGCCCCAGCAGAACATGGGGAGCAAGACCCTTCATGGCACAAGGGCTCTCCCAGAGTAAACCCCATGGGAAGTGAGCCAGTGCCCCAGCCTGGCTCCCCTGGGGCGATGCTGGGTGCACACCCTGGCTGGCAGCAGAGCCGGTCACCTCTGCAGGAAAGGAGGGCTGTGTCCCATTTGCTTTCCTGATTCTCAAAACTCAAACCACATGCAGCTCCCTGTGCTGCTGTAGCCAAAATCTTGCAGCAGCCACACAGGAGCAGCCAGGTTGGATCAGCACCGAGAGCAGGCAGGGAGAGCAGCAAGAGCTGAGGACACACAGTGCACAGCCGGGCCCAGACAGACCTGAGAGCAGAGCTGACAGCAGGGCTGGTTAGCCCAGGCTTGTTTTGGGCAGGGAGGTGCCTCGGGGCTGTGCCCATGGCCCCTGGTTGTTCCCATCCAGCCGGCTCAGCCTGGCTGTGGTGTTTGCCCTGAGGCAGCCCCAGGATCATGTGGGGTGATTTTCTGGTTGGCATCTCACCTCCTCCAGCCCTTGAGTGCCAAAAGTTTCCCTGGCCCTTGGCAGCGGTGTCGGCCCAGCCCTGACATCCCAGGGCACTGCAGAGCGCCAGCAGGGCTGGAATGCTCCACAACATCCCCACCCCACAAAATCCTGCCCAGGATGGAGCCACCCCTGTAACAAGGCAGCTACTTGGGGATCCATGTGCAGTATTTCCACCCCACACAACAAAAGAGATGGGGCAACAACACAAGCTCCAACGAGGGAAAGTTTGATGGGACTTCAGGGGAAAAAGGGTGTATCACCTAAGGGTGGCACCGTCTGGGGACAGAGCCTCAGCAAGGTGGTGGTGGCCACCCTGTCCTTGAAGATTCTCCTAATTCAGCGGGACATGGGTCCAAGCTGTGGCACTGCCCCTCTGCTGAGCAGCAGATGCACCCTCCAGCAATCCCTTCTAAAACAATGCCTTCTAAAACAATCCCTTCTTAAATTTTCCTTTGCTTCATGCAGCAGGATGCCTGCAAAGGTCTGCACAGGTCCCTGTGTGGCACCTGAAGGTAAGGAGGCAGCGAGCTCTCCTCTGTGATGGCATCTGCCCAGCCCTGTCCTGCACATGCTCCACTCCATGTCCACCACTGTGTCCCAGCGCCCAGCCTTGTGAAACCCACGGCTCATCCCCTGCCTGCACTGTGCCAGTGCTGCAGGTCTTTGCTGCCCACCACCACTCCTCAGGCCCTGCTGGGCCAACTGGGAGCTGCACAAACACTGAGAGATGGAAATGATGATTTATTAGAGTATCTCCTGCCCCAAGACAACAAAGGCTTCTCCAGACATCCCACCAGATTGCCTTGCCAGCTCAGCCCTTCCCCAGGCAGAAAGCACTGAAGCTCTGTGCCTTTTCCTTGTCCCAAGCTGTCCCCAACCTGCTGAGCCTGCAGGTGCTCAGGATGAGCCATGACCACGGTCCAGGCTCAGGAGAAAAACCGTGGCAAGGAACACCACAGGCAGCAGCATGGGAGAGCTCCTACAAGTATCTAGAAGTGGGAAAAAATGGGAAAATACAAGGTGATGGCATGGATCCAGAGAAGAGAGCTGATCTGTGAGAAGTCAAGCAGCACAGAGACAACTGTTCTCCAGACCACTGAGCAAGGAGTATATTAGGTCATCTCCCTCCCTTTTCTGTGGACAAGACACAGCACTGGAGGGTGAGCAAAGCATGCCAGTTGAACATTGGACACTGTACCAGCACCTGCATGGGCCCAGGGTCTGGAACATGCCTTCCTCTCCTTCCCTCCTAAAGTGATGTCCATTCCTGCACAGCAAGGAAGGATATTCGTGCAGAGCAGCACAGCACAGTGGCCCCACTGGCTCAGGAGTCCAGCTTGATGAAGACCTTGGGCCTCGAGAAAATTTTGATTGCCTCTTCTATCTGGGAGAGCTTCCTCTCCAGCTCTACCCGCCTGTTCTGCATCTTGAGGGAGTCTCCACGCATTGGCAGCAGAACCAAGTCCTTTATCAACTGCTCCTGGCCTGTAAAAAGAGAAATAAGACAAGTAGTGTAAGTTGAAGAACAAATAAATCCATCCTTTTCCTGACACTATGACCCCATCCCCAGCCATGAGAATGATGGCAGCACTGGAACACGGACCTAGAATCCTTCTATTCAAAGCTCAGCTGGATGAGGACCTGAAGGACCTGCTCCAGCTTTTAAGAACCAAGGATTGTACTAGAGACCTCTGAGGGTCCATTCCAACTAAAATCTTTCCAACATTTTAGGAGTAATAGTAACCCTAACATCGGGTCCACTGGACAAGCCTGCTCCAGAGAGCCACTCCTGTAACCTGCAGGTCCCACCAAGCTGCAGGAGACTGACTGCTCTTTCCACACACACAGCTCACATCCTGCCTACACACGCCTTATTCCAGGCAACCCTTCAAGTGGCAGGAATCTGTGGCCCACAACTCTCTTCCCCCCAAGCAATCCTGGCTAGGATTGCTTGTTTTTCTCAGCTGGAATCCCCATTTTTTTTCCCTCTTACTCTGCTTCAGGTTGCCGAGGGTCTCCAGCCGCTGGTCCTCCGGCATCATGGTGTGGCCAGGCGGCGTGTCGGGATCTGGCAGGTTCCGCAGCCGCTCCTCCATCTGTTTGCGCCACAGCTCCTTCCTCTCCAGCAGGCTGCAAGGCAAAGGAGAGCAGGTGTTGGCACATCTGGCAGGAGGGGCAGCCCAGGGACACCGGCAGAGAGCAGGAATCACGACCTTCAAACCCCGCTACGCTCCACGTCACTGCCCGAGGACCAAAGGGATCCACGTGCTGGCACACGCCCTCGCTGTGGAGGATACAGGCGGGTTTAGCCCACACATGAGCAAACACACTCCACGTGCACCAAAGGGCTGCTGGAAGAGACACACTCAGGGCAACACATGCTCCTTGGAGACAAGGGATGCTGCTGCTCGTTTCTGGCTCACTGAGTCCTCGCAAAACTGTCTGTGGGCCAGTGGCAGAATGAAGTCAGACAGAGCAGCTCATGGCCGAGGATGCACAGCCAAAGGACTGACACCGTGGTCAGTCCCAGGACAGGGGCACCCAGGCACAGCCTTCCACATAGAACCCTCAAATGCACAGCACTAGTTGGATGTTCTTCAGGTCCAAGGCAGAGTGAACACTTGTGAGGCAGAGTGGGCTCTCTGCCCCTCCAAAACTAGACCTTTTAATGCCGAAGTTGCATCATGTGGAGCAAAGCTCATGAAGGGGCAGGAGCACACAGAGCACCCCACATCAGCATCACTGTACAGTGGCAAGCAAGGGAGGAGGAGACAAAACTCCTGAGCCCAGTTGCACTGGCCATGTGATGTTTGTTAAGTCAGGAAGGCAGGAGGGACAGTGTTTATTCCCCAGGCCACAGTAAATGGCGCTGCTGTGCATGGTGAGTGTGCCTCTGTCCCCAGCCCCTCTCTATGCAGAGGCTGGGGCATGCAGTGAAGGCTGTTACAGGGGGGTCATACATACTATTGGGGGACATGGCCCTTCTGCTTGCTGTTGTATTCCTCCTGCTCCCGGTGCTTCTGTTCCAGCAGCTCGGCCAGTGCCTGCAGGGACTGGGAGCGGCGCAGCGGGGCCCGCTTGGCATTGCAGGCATTGTGCTTGATGAAGTCAATGCCCCTGCCCTCCACCTGGATCTGGAAGAAGAGAGAGCGAGGGATCAAGGGCCCTCTGGGCACACACACACAACCAGGAAACCACTGGGATGCATGGGTGCCAGAAATCCCTGGTATGGATGCAGTTAGTGTGCCACTCACCTTGGTTTCAGCACCCTGTGCTTCTGGAGTCTCTGTGTCTGCTCTTTTGGCTCTGACAGGCCTTGGGGAGAGCAGTCTGCAGGGCTTGATCCCAGAGCCACAGCGAGAATATGCTCTCAGGAATTTCACAGCCTCAGGATTTGGAGGTGGGGAGGTCTCCTGGGGAAGGCAAGGAAAGATCCACTATTGGAGGGAGACTGGAGCAAAGAGAAACCCATCCAACCAACTTTGGGTCGTCAACCATGAGCTCAGCCACAGGTTTCCAGCAGGCACACGGCAGCACACGCTTTCTGCCATGACTTGGCAGAAG